TTTGTTACTACAGGTATTGTATTGATTGTTTGATATAATCTATCTGCTTCTTTTCTTTGTTGTTCGATAATTCGTTCGTTTTCTAATATTCTTTTTCTGTAATTTACGTAGTATGTTATTAATGCTACGAGTACTATGAGTACTATGGTTACTATGTCTTGGGCTATCACGTTAGAGTCTGAAAAGTAACTTGGTGTTATCGTTTGTGTAAAGGTTATAGTTGAGGTACTTCTAGTTGTTAGGGTATTTGATACTGTTATATTTTGGGTTACTGTTGGTGTTGGTATTTGGATTGTTAAGAATATTACTTGTCTTTCTTCAATGTCTTGCATTAAAGTTTTTGTATATTTCTTTTGATTTGGGTATCAAGTTTAGTCCTTGGTATTTATGTGAAGTATTCATTTTCGCAGGTTTCATTGGCTTATATATTAGAGTATTATTTGAATATTTCAAGTTGGGTGTTGATTTGTTTTGTAAATGGTTAAGCTTCGTTGATTGAAGTATTGTTTATTTATTCGTTGGTTCGGTGCTGAGTCTTCAAATAGTTTAAATGCTTCTAAATAGTTTGGGTTTACTAGTGGATGTCCTAGTTCGTATCTTGTTGGTAGATATTGTGCTTGGTTATACGTATCAGGTAAAGTTGGTTTATTAGGTCGTTTCTTTTTCTTTTTTAAGTTGAAGAGGTTAAGCATTTATAGTAGTCGTGAGTCTCCTGGTGGTAACGTAGGTGGTCCAGATATATGTTGTCTTTTTCTCAATTTGTTTCGGTAACAAGTAATAAGTATAAGAGATGATATTTCAAATATAAGTATAGATATGATTATTATTGTGATAACGAGTATAGTGTTGTCATTTAGTTGTTCAGTTGTAGTTTGCATTTAGAGTAGTATATAGTGTTCGCGTTCTTGTGCGTAATAAGCCATCTGGGGGTTCTCTTTATAGGTTCTTTTCTTATAGCGTTAGTGTGTGCAACAACATAATAATATTGTTAGTAGGTTAAATAAAATTAGTAATAGAATAATAAAGAACATTGTTAGTGTTTGTTGATTAGAAAATATGTTAGTATTGCAATTGTTGTCGAAGGTTATTCTAGTGGATTGTGGTAGTGGTATTGTAGTAATTGTGGTTGACATTATTTTCTTCTTGGACGTTAATGTTTTCATTAAGTAGATTCGTAAGTCCACTACAAAATGGATTGTGCTTGTTGATTGTTTCATAACTCTCTGTATTTGTAAGGTTTATTGTGTTGAAGAATCGTCACGTCTTTTGGCGGTATAAATTATAACAATTATTCTAAATAATAATGTAAGTACTATAAGTATTAATATAATAGGCCGTAATTGTATTTCTATTTGTTGTGGTATTACAAATTGTTGTATCGTATTGTTGTCCATTAACTATTGGTAAATCTTTCAAGAGTTTTTTCTTTAAATAATTCCAATTTATATCCAGGTTGTAAATGTAACTTCAGATTCATTTCCGTCTGTTTGATATTCTGTCACCGTTCGGTAATTATATCTCTTTCTAGGGTTTGTACCGTTAATTCCTGTGCTTTGTACAGGTGGGCGTTTAGGTCGAGTTTTCTGTTTTCCTTTAGTTTTCAATTGTTTTGCAAGATCTTCTAAGTTTCTTTCAGATAAAGGTTGAAATGGTTGTGTAAGTAGATTGTTTGGTAAGCCTTGAGCTATTTGTGCTCCTTCAGGTAGTAAGTCTAATTGTGCACAATATTGTCTTTTTTGTTGCCTTTGTCTTTTATAACAGATTGTAAGTATTGTTACTATTACAGTTAATATTGCTAATATTGTGCCTAATATTTCTGCTATTATTACTAAGGTATTATTATTAGATTGTTGTTTTACGCTAGTTGGCATTGCTACAATTATTTGTACAGATTGTGTCAGTTTTTCTTTGGTGTTTGGTATTGTATTTGTATTTATATTTGTGCTTGATACAATTGTTGAAGTTGATATTATATTTGTTGGTGTTAATGTTGTTGGTACTACTACATCGGCTTTGGCAAATATATTCTTTGTTTTTCTAAGATTATTAATTTCTTTTGAACAATATGTAATGTAGGGCGTGTTATTGGTATGCCTTTTCTTTAATTAGAAGTTTCATTCTAATAGTGATTGTAAATGTTGTTTAGGTTGGTCTTGCAGTATTTCTTTTTCTAAAATTATTATACAGTAAGTTTCTGGATTTGGTCATAGTATGTTATCTAGGTCGTTATAGATTAAGAAATCTATAAGCGATAGTAGTAAGTATATTACTATCTTCATCTGTTGATGCTTGTTTATAAAATAACTTATTATAGATTATTTCACTAAGAGTCTGCAGTCTAATCGTTAGAGTGATCAGTTCGTCAGAGTTAAATGTAAGTATTCTGGTTAATAGGCCAGATAAATTTCTTCGTCAGTTAGTTACTTCAATAGATAATAAGAGTGTAAAGTTTATTATTTATAAAATATGTTTCTTTATTAAATAATATGTTCGTTAGATATTTATACAGGTTGTAATGTGTAATTGCTTTTTTATTAAACTAATATTCGTATATTCTTTATCATGGTACTGTAGGCGATTATACTTTTCGAAGTTGTATAGTTAGTCAATAACTATATATGCGAAGGATAGTTTGAAACGTTTTAAGTTTCAACGGAAATGTGGGTAATTAAAGATATTAAAGTGGTAAATTAACTAAATTAATTGAATAACTGAATTAACGTACAAAGTTCTAGCTAAAGCGAATTTTGGTAGTTTAAATGCATTTTAGTTGTTACATATTTCGAATGATTAAATAATAAAGCTAAGTTACTATTATACTTCTTCTAGTCTATTGTATTAAACGATTGTAATAAATTATTAATCAATTGTTTGATTCTTTGTTGTGAAATTTAGCATTTTCGAGTTTTCAAAGTTATAATAATCATGTGTTCCTAAGCGATTTTAGTGTTACGATTGGTTCGATAGTTTTTCCTGATAGTTATACTAGTGTTGCGGTAATGGTATGTATAACGGTACATTTTGACAATTTATTTGTTTCATAGTTTTCTTCTATTTATTTACGATTTTCGTTATTTGTTGTAATTTCGGATAGATCGTTGGTTCGGTTTTACTTTTTCTGGTATGATAATTGTCAGGAGATTTTTAATGGTGTCTGTACACACTAAACTGTTTCTGAGCCCTTGGCGATAAAGTTTAGTTTTACTTGTACAGGTATTTCTATTGTTTTGAGGGTTTTGGCATTTTTGTAACCCCTTTATTAGATTTCTGACGTAAAGGTTTTTCTCTGACGTATTCTTTTTCTGGATCTAATCTGTGTGGATCATAAGTAATTTTTTCTTTTTTAGTGATGTACTCATTTTTGTAATACGATATTAATAATTCAAATAGTTTTTGTTTATATGAATTGTTGGTGTGAAGCATAGGTGTTGCACTTCTTTTTGTAATAAATATTTGAAGTTTGTTTAAATATTTGGTTCCATATTTTTGATAGAATTCTTTTCTTTATCAGTTAAACGATATAACCAAATTGGTATAGTTACTCTATTTGTTTCGAGTACAGTTTCAGTCTCATGATTGTATAATGGTTTTGTTCCACTTTGATTATGTGAATGATAGTTGTGTACCATGATAAGTTGCATTCGTGAATGATCTATTTTTAGATCCAATTCTTCTTGTGCTTCTCGTACGATTCCTTCATAGTATGTTTCATTTAGTTCTACTTTCCCTCCGAAGCATGACCATTGATTCGGGTATATTTTACATTGGTCGGTTCTTTGTGCAGCTAGGATTTTTGGTCCTACTATGTCGCCTTGTCCTATTTTGTCTATAATGTATGGTATTATTACCATATATTTCCGATTTTCTTTGACATTGATTTTTTTAGATAATCAATCAACTTCTTCTAGTTGTTTGGAGTTTTTGATAGTTGATTTTTCTGAAATTATAGTTTTGATCATATCATTTAGATTTTTGTGGTTATTATTAATTTCAATGTGAGTTGGATATGCTTCTAAAATATTTTTTTCATAAGAGGAATATATTTCTTCAAGGTATTTGTATCAACATTATCTTTGGTTAAGTTTTGTTCTTCCTTTCTTTTAATATGTCGTTCTAGTAATTTTTCAAATTTTGGTTTACAATAAATTACTAGTGGGTTACTTGAGTATAATGCTTTTTTTAATTGTTGCCGGATGTTTTCTAAAATTTTTCTTTCTTCAAGGTCTTTAATATAGATGTTTTCAAAGATGATAGTATCTATGAATGTTCAATCCATAAGGATATAAGTTGATTTGTCTATTCCTGTTATCAGTTTTAGTTGGTATCACCTTTTCTAATATTCTTGAAGTATGCACATTTGTTGTGCAAATGCATATTTTTCTTTATTTTTGTTCATTAGAGCTAATGATTCAGATTTTCATTTGGTAATCCTTCTACTCGAATTATTTTTTGGTGTTGTTCTTCAAGATATCTTTCTAAGTTTTTTGTAAAGGTTGTTTTTCTGCAGCTACGGCTCCTGTTACTATAATAATTTTAGCGTTGATTTTTAAGTCAAGTTTTTGAATTAATTCTTGATATTTTGGTAGTGATTTATATATTTTATGGATTGTAAATATTGGTATAAATTCTGTTTTTGTTACTCAGGTTTGGTCTTCTTTTTTGAACTTTTCATTTCTTTGTAATCTTTCTTCGTTTTCTTTTAAGAGTTCTTTTTTATCATTCAATTCCTTTAATAGTTTTTCTATTTCTTCTTGATTTCTTTGTTCTATCGTTTCTTTGTTTAGTAGTTCTTTTTGATAATAGTCATTTCTTGTTTTAAAGTATTCTTTTGAGTTTGGTTTTAAAGTTTTTGGGTGGTGTTGTGTTTTCATAAATTCTCTGGTTTCCTTTTCTGATGGTTTTGTTAGTGGTCTTCTTTTTTTGATTTTTATTTCAACATTTTCTTATGCCCAATTAAATATTGTAAGTTGTATTGGTTTTGCTTTTTCTAGAAATTCTATTATAAGCTTCTTTTTATCTGTTTCATTATTATATTTTTCTTCTCCCAATACTTCTTTCATAACTCTTTCCTGTATCTCTGTTGGTTCGAGTTTATATTCTTTTGGTTTATTCATCTTGGTGTTAAGATTATGTTCCATGAATCTTGTCTTCTGGTTAAGGTGTTTCTCGATCCCCTTATGATTATTCTTTTTACTATTTCTGCAGTTCTCAATTGGTTGTAAGCAGTGGTTAATTGATGGTTAACCTTTTTTAGTTTGCTTTTAGTTGTTCTTTGGTATATCTTTCTTCAGCTGGTTCTATTTGTTGATAGATTTGAAATTGTAATCTTGCTAAAATTGCTTTTTGGTGTTATTCTGTGTTTCTATTATTTCTTATTTCTGTTGTTCGAAGATATTCGAATCCTAGATTTTCTCGTATTATTTCTTCTGTTAATAATGGTTCCTGTACTTGGATTCTTGCTTCTAGAAATGATAATTGGTGTTTTATCTTTTCTACAAAGGTTGTAAATTCAGATATTTCTTGATTTATATTTTGTAATTCTTCAAGTTGTTCTTGGTTCATCAATAGTTTTCTTTTGTTTAACTATGATGTAGATTATGATGATTGTTCCTATTGTTATTATAATCTCTATTGTTGCTAGAGCTATTGGTCGTAGTTGTTTTTCAATTTCTTGTGATATTCCTACTTGTTGTATAACTGTTGGGTTATTATTCATCTAATTCTTCTAGATGGTTTTTGATTTCTTCAAGTAATTTATTCAGTTTTTGTAATGATGATTGTTCAAGTATTTCTTCTAATACTATTCTTACTGATATTTCTAATGGTAATTGGTGTTCCAGTTCTTTTAATTTTATTATTAATTTTTCTTTGGTATAGATTTGTTGTTGATATGAAATAATATTGTCTTTTGCTTCTTGTAATACTTTCTTTAAATATTTTGGGTTGTATCGGTCTATTGTTATACTCATTAATATGGTGTGTGATCTATTAATTGATCGTTTGGATTGTATATTTCGTAAGCGATTGGTGTGAAGCTGATAATGTCAATATATCTAATTATTTTTCCTCCTAAATGTCTTGGTATAAAGTCAATTCTGTTTTGGTATTTTTCTTTAATATTGTACCAGTCTTGATAAGTATTTGAGTTTAATACGTCTGTGATATATTGTGTTTCTTTATCTATGTTGTCTTGTGCACATAGGAATTGTGTTAATTCTTTTTGAAATTCTTCAAAGTCTTCATTTGTTATTAGGGTATTCAAGTCTTTGACACTTGTTCGTTGTAGTATGAATAGTTTTATCCATGTTCTTAATTGGTATTCCTTTACTATTTTACTTTCTCTTGACAGTAGTAATAAGTAATTCTGAAGTTCTCCATTCAATACTTCCTCTGAGACTTTTTTAGGTTCTGGTGGTGGTCATATAAGCTTTTTATTAGTTGTTATTGAATCTATGGATATTTCTGGTTCCCAGGGATTATTATCTTCTGTTGAGAGTGTAGTGAATTGGTCAAATAGTTTGTTTAAATTTGTTTCTTCTGGAAAGAATGTTTCGTTTTGGTATTCTTCAAATAGTTGTACTATTGATTTAGTTTGTTGTTCTATTTCTTCTTCTAGGTGTATTGTTGGATTTCTTTTAGAGTAATTACACGGTTTATTTTCGATTTTACAGTTGTTACACTTTTTTTGTCAGGTACTTTCTTTGATACACCCTATTCTTTTTTGAATACAGTTGTTACAGTTTTTGTTTATTTCTTCCACTTTTATTTTGTCAGAGTTATTTTGTTTATGGTACCTTTTGGGTTTTTGGTATTCGCACCATAAATTTTTATGTTTGCAATATATACACGTGTTAGTATTTGTTTTTATACAACGTGTTTTTCTTTTTCTACAGTTTTTACAATGGTTATAATTTGCTTGTTTTGGTTTGGTGGAGGTATACGGTAATTCTTTTTCAATGCAGGAATTACACTTTTCCTCAGTTGGTTGTTTGATGCAATATTTTTTAAATATATTACAATTGTCACAGTTTCTAATCCTTGTTCCTTTGTGGTATTGTTGTTGTTTTGAATATTCACACTTTAAATTGTGTTTTATACACCTTCTGCACTTTAGTTTTTCTTTGTCTTTTATACAGTGTGTTGGTATGCTGAGACAATTGTTACAGTACCTATTGATTTTATTGCTTTCACTTTGATTTCTTTGAGTAATTATATTGTTGACTTCTTTAATGACCTTTTCTATTTCTGTTGTTAATTTTTCTTCGTTATATCTTTGACTTCCAGGTACTTGTTCTCATATTTTCTTTTCTTTGTATTTGCACTCTAATTAGTTTCTTTTGCAGTATTCACACTTTTCTTGATTTTCTTTCTTTTTACACCGTTTATATATTCTTGTACAATGAGTACACTTGGTATTTAATATCATTCAATTTAATATATGGTCCAATGATGTTTTAATTGTTTCTTCAGCTGTTCCACTAGTTGTTTCTTCAAATGTTTCTACTATTGTTTGTTCTTTGTTTCTCTTTACTTTATAGGTTCGTGAATCTATTCTTGTTGTTATATACTCGATATTCTCTTTGATGCACCAATTGCACTTTTCTTGATTTTTTTGGTATTCACACTTCTTTTTGTATTTAGCACAGTAATCACATGCTTTGCAATTTTTTACCCAAGTTATTTTCTGATATTGTTGTGTTTTTGGGTTTTTCCTAGATTCGTTCTGGGCCACTTGTTGTGATTTTCTATTAAATTAATTACCTTCTGTTTGTATTCCTGTCCTTCAAGGTTGATTAATTTTTCAAGCTTTTGTTGGTAGCTTTTTTCTTTTACTGGAAAGAATTCTTTGGTTGTTACCAGTTCTTTTAGATTGAGTTTACTTAATGTTAGTCCAATTATTATTTGAGAAGTTATTGGTTGTTCAAATATTTCAATTTGTCATTTTAAGAGTTGATATATTTTTCTATATATAGTTGTTTTATCAATTATTGTTTGTTCATTAAGGTCCATTTGTCCTGTTGTTCAGGATGATGATTTTTGCTGTGTTTAAATATCTTTTGTCGTTGTACATGATTGGTAATAATAATGCCCCAATTCGTTATTTTCCCGTAGTACTTCAGAGATATTCCTTCCGGAAATAACTCATCTAAAGGCACATCTTTGGTGTCTTACGATAAAGATTTCTTTGTCCCTGATTGTTTGTTTCTTTGATTTATTTTGAGAGTACTCGGATCTACTTTCCTGAGAGTTTTACTATTATTCCTTTGTTATGATCAACTGATCTTGAGAATAATTCAACTAGTAATGTGGAGTCTTACTCTTTGCTCCATTTGGTGATATTATTTATTTGTTCATTGATTAATGATATCTTTTGTCACACTTTCTCAGGGTGTGATTAATTCCTATTGGTGTTTCCATATTATCATATGGATAGATGTTTTGATTGATTGTTTTGAGTGTAAACCAAACACTCATATCGACTGTTGTTATGTGGGTGCCAATTTGTGGCATGAGCTCTTTATATTTTCCTGGTGCTACTGTGTCCCATCCATCGCACAGTGCTATCATATGCTATTCCCTTTATAGGTATATTAAGGTTGCACCATCTAGGTCGCACATATTAATATATTCTATTCTGTACGCCTTTAAAGCTAAGTAATACAAGATTTATAATTTATAATTCCTATAAGTAATACTAGATTATTAATACTATTTGATAAGCTATTTTTGGTTAAATTAATTATTATAATATTGATTGATAGTAATATTTGGTGGTGCAGATGTTGTTCTTTGTTTTGTTTCATTAAGGAATTCTTTTTCAGTTAATTCTTGTATTCCTTCATTTGCGATTGGTTTAATAGTTGGTGACCATGTTCTTCTTTCTGGTGGTACTTGTAACCATTGTGCTGTTCCTGTGTGAAGTAATTCTTTTTCAGTAGATAATTCTTCTAAATCTGTTGCACTATCATTGCTTCGATTTCTTTTGTAAAGTCCTATAAGGAATGATCTATTTAGGATTTTTCTTCTACATTGGTTTGCTTCTTGTTGGTAAGCTTCATTAGTATAATAATGTGTTTTCTCTGCTAATCGTTCATTTATTTTTTCTGCTATTTCAGATATTTCGTTTCCTAATGTTTCAAAGCTTTTTGCTACTTGGTTCATTTGAGAGTAATTTCGTAAGTCTTGTCTTTCCAAGTATTGTTCTAATCTTTGAATTCTTTTTTCTTGCATTTGTTGGTTATTGAGTATTTGTTCAAGAGTTAATGTTAGATTGTGTATTCCTATAGCAAAGTGTTAGAATCCTTTCTGGATCCAATCTTGTTCTGAAGCGAAATTGTTTCTTTCAAGAAATTCTACTGGTTCTGGTGTTTCTACTCATTGCTTTCCTTTGTTAGTTGGTTGGTTTATTTGAAAGCAGTTTTCACACATTTGTATTTCTTTTTCATTATTAGTCTGTAGTGCATTTTCTGTATTACAATATAGACAATATTGTTGTCCTTTAAATTTTTCATTATAGCAGTAATTATGGTAATAATTACTGTAATATTGGTTACAGTATTCTTCTTTTTGATGATAATGTTTTCTTGTTTCTTCTGTTTGTACTATGGTATATTCCCATGGCTCTTCTTGTTCGATTGCTATTGTCATTAGACATGATTTACATAGGACGTTAGTTCCCTTCATTTGTTCAAAGAATTTTTTGTTATACTCATGGAAGGTTCTATCTTTGGGATTTGTTTCATCAAAGCTTCTTTCTATTGCTCTTTGGAGTTTATTTTCGTTTTCTATTAATTGTCTATATAATTATCATCGGTCTCATCCGTTATTTCATCATTTATGAATTGTTGTGGTATTATCCCATTTGGTGTTGAGAGAACATCATTTGGTTGTGTTTCTCTATTTACTGTTTGTGGGTTTATCCTTCCTTGTCTTATTTCTAAGAATATTTCTCTTGTTAA